TCTATGGCCTAAATTGGCCTAATTTTTATATGATAAGCAGTACGTGTCAATGACCTGTGTGAATCAAGCCTAGCCTGTGACATAAAATTCATGCATCTCGCAAAATGTCGGGCATTTCATACTCCACTGAACACAGAAAAGAAATCAAACCCAACAATAACATATCAAAAGTTATTGTTGGGTTTGATTTCTTTTCTGTGTGCAGTGGAGTATGAAATGCCCGACATTTTGCGAGATGCATGAATTTTATGTCACAGGCTAGGCTTGATTCACACAGGTCATTGACACGTCGTTTTTATTGTTTATTATTAATATAGACAGCTGCCGCCGCGCCGCGTGCCTGCGAAGCTGGTGTGTTACGCCGAAAGGCGGTTATACCGGCTATACAGATACAGATACAGATTCTATCATGTTCTTGCAATTAGCCCTCGGGCATAGATTTGCAATAAACTTTCTGTGTATCCGCCGAAGCAACCACAGGCGGTGGGCCTGGCATGAGAGATTGGGTAGATCAAACCAACACTAGAACTATTGCCTCTCTTCTCTTTGATGGTGAAAAGATAAGAGCAGACATGTTTAAAGATCACACGTTTGTCCAAGCCCATAAGAAGCATGTCTATATAATTTGTCTGTATTACTCAGGTGTATAAACTGTGGAAAACATCGATGTTATCAGTATATAAAGTTTGTGCCAGCACGTGTCATCCCGCGTGCATTTGATTTTCATAAAAACAAGCCCAGGAAGTCTGTTATTGAGTTAAAGATCTGTGGGGGCTTCGTGAGCGGCACTAGATTGTGATTTTTTTTTTCTCTTCCACTTCAAGTAGTGCTGCATATTAAGTCTTCAGGCAATGTACAGGCCATATGGTTATAGTCTACCAGACCGCTCCGTCGAATGACAAAAAGAAAGTTGTAGAAATATGCCAAAATAACGATACTAAAATTCATTCTTTCATTGTATGGCTAGTTAATTCCTCTGGGAACTCATGAATTCAACGTATTTGGCTAATTTATGACTTTTTTCTCAGATAGTCTCAACCGGACTGTGTAGCTGGAAAATCGAAGAAATTAAATAATTTACAAAACCTTTACTTGAAAAGGCACACATTTACGGGGTGTTTGAAGACTTCAAATCAGTTATCCTCTGCCTAGAGTACGTTAGAACACAGCATCTCAGGATAAAACCGCTCATAACAAGGTTTGATTCGTGCTTTTATCTTTCTTTTGAGAGATAACGCTGTTTGAGTGAAGTTGTTTGTTGCGATTCGGTGTTCTCTCAGAAGCCCACGTTTCAAAACCAGCATCAAAACAGTGCATTTGGGCTGTTTTCCTGACTACGTTAGTATACAGCAGACACCCATGATCAGGTTTCATTAGTGCTCGTCCTCTTTCTTTTGTGAGCTGACCATGTTTGAGTAAACCTTCACCTTATTGATGCGCACTTTTCGAATTCAATCGGCAGCGTACGTGGTCAAAACCAGCATCAAAACTGCAACTTTGGGCTGTTTTCATGACTACGTCAGTATACAGCAGTTGAGAGAAACACTCATCATACGGTTTGATTCGTGCTTTTTATCTTTATTTTGAGAGCTGACACTGTTTGAGTGAAGTTTTATGTTGCGATCTCAGATGCGCAAGTTTCTAATTCAGTCGGCTATAGTCAACATCAGCGTCAAACTGCGATGTTATCACTGTTTTCCTGACTACGTTAGTATACAGAAGTTGAGAAAAGACACGCATATTAAGGTTTGATTTGTGTTTTTTATCTTTCTTTTGAGAGATAACGCTGTTTGAGTGAAGTTCTTTGTTGCGATTCGGTGTTCTCTCAGAATCCCACGTTTCAAAACCAGCATCAAAACTGCGACTTTGGGCTGTTTTCCTGACTAGGTAAGTATAAAGCAGTTGAGAAGAAGTTGAAACACTCATGATAAGGTTTGATTCGTGCTTTTTATCTTTCTTTTGAGAGCTAACGCTGTTTGAGTGAACTTTCACATTGCGATCTCAGATGCGCATGTTTCGAATTCAGTAGGCAAAGGTCGAAATCAGCATCAAAACGATGTTATGACTGTTTTCCTGCCTAAATTAGTATACAGTTCAGACGAAAACACCCATGATAATATTTGATTCGTGCTTTTTATCTTTATTTTGAGAGCTGACACTTTTTGAGTAAAGTTTTGTTGCGATCTCAGATGCGCAAGTTTCTAATTCAATCGGCAAAGGTCGAAATCAGCATCAAATTGCGATGTTATCACTGTTTTTCTGATGACGTTAGTATACAGTAGTTGAGAAAAGACACTCATATTAAGGTTTGATTTGTGTTGTGTTTTTTATCTTTCTTTTGAGAGATAACGCTGTTTGAGTGAAGTTCTTTGTTGCAATTCGGCGTTGTCTCGGAAGCCCAGCATCAGTCAAAACCAGCATCAAAACCGCGACTTTGGGCTGTTTTCCTGACTAAGTTAGTATAAAGCAGTTGAGAAGAAGTTGAAACACTCATGATAAGGTTTGATTCGTGCTTTTTATCTTTCTTTTGAGAGCTGACACTGTTTGAGTGAACTTTCACATTGCGATCTCAGATGCGCATGTTTCGAATTCAGCATCAAAACGATGTTATGACTGTTTTCCTGCCTAAAATAGTATACAGTTCAGACGAAAACACCCATGATAATATTTGATTCGTGCTTTTTATCTTTATTTTGAGAGCTGACACTGTTTGAGTGTAGTTTTATGTTGCGATCTAAGATGCGCAAGTTTCTAATTCAATCGGCAAAGGTCGAAATCAGCATCAAATTGCGATGTTTGGAGTGTTTCCCTAACTACGTTAGTATACAGCAGTTGAGAAGAAAACACTCATAATAAGGTCTGGTTTAATTAGTGCTTGTTATCTTTCTTTTGAGAGCTGACGCACTCTGCTCCAGATCTGCGTACGTCTTGGTGTCGTGTTGTGTAAAGAGCAGGAGATGCCCCAAGCTCTGCCTGCGGGAGTTTTTGCGGTTCTTCTTTCGTGGTTTCCTTTGATCCATCAGCCTCTGTACTCGAACGTAGCTTGCTAGCCTCCTTCGCAGTCTTGTTGGGCGTCGGCGTAATTTTTTCTCTGAGCGACGCGAGTAATATGCCGCCGCGAGGGACGATTTGCTGCCGAGGGACTTTTTGCCACGGAGAGAAGGTTTCGCGCAAAGTTGTTTTTCGTAGCAGCAATGTCTCCGGGATTTTGTTGAGTGGATAGGGCTCGGTTTTCGGGAATGGTTGGCGTTCTACCGACGGGTTGATCGGCGATCGCTAGAAAGTTACAAGTTTTGGCTTGTCGAGCAACGGGGCGTGAACACCACCCTGCACTGTGGCGTTTATTGCGGGAAGTTCACACATCCATGCCAATCGCTCCTAAGTGATTTTTGATAGCCCTTTCTACTCGCCGATTGGAAGCAGTCTTGTTGGAGCGCGAAACCTTCTCTCCGTGGCAAAAAGTCTCTCGGCAGCAAGTCGTCCCTCGCGGCGGCATATTACTCGCGTCGCTCAGAGAAAAAATTACGCCGACGCCCAACAAGACTGCGAAGGAGGCTAAGCTTGCTCGTTTGGCTGTCCTTTCCTTTACAGGATAGCTCATCCGGTATCCGGTGTGTCTACGAGCGCTGAAGGACATTTCAGGGAGAAGGCCGGCTTTAAACACCCATAATAAGGTCTGGTTTTTAAGAAGTGCTTGTTATCTTTCTTTTGAGAGCTGACGCACTCTGTTCGAAGTCTGCGTGCGTCTGGGTGTCATGTTGTGTAAAGAGCAGGAGATGCCTCAAGCTCTGCCTTCGGGAGTTTTTGCGGTTCTTCTTTTCTGGTTTCCTTTGATCCATCAGCCTCCGTACTCGAACGTAGCTTGCTCGGTTGGCTGTCCTTGCCTTTACAGGATAGCTCACCCGGTGTGTCTACGAGCGCTGAAGGACATTTCAGGACGGAAGAAGGCCGGCTTTTCCTCGGCAAATGAATGTGAGATTCTTAGAAGCCGACTGATAAAACAGGATAGATTGTCATGTGAAAACAACAGGTGTTATTTTTGTTCTGGATCACGAAACATTTTTGTTTTCAGTATTTAGTCTGTTTTAGTTAGAAAGTATCAAACTTCTGTGCCATTTTTCTTTTGAGTTTGGAAAATAGGAGAAATTGACTAAGTAGACTGAATGATAATTTCCAGAGCACACTTTGCTTCCTTATGGCCGGCACGCGCACATTAATTCAGTCTATTTCCGTCTACTGTTATTTTTCATCAACCACTAATGAGGACTACCTGTGCTATACGATCTCCTGCTGGCTAATTGGAAGCGGGGGCCGCTAGCTAGACTGAGGGGCGCGGTTCATCAGGTTGATCAAGGAGGTTAAAAATAAGAGGCTAAACTTATAAGAAATGCATATTGAATTGACAGAACTAGAACTCATGTATAACAAACAACGCAAGTGCTGACATTTACCTTTTATTCATTTTTTCTTCTTGAATCACATACAAGAGCAATAACACATAGGTTCAATACACATCGCAGGGTGCAATTTAGCATTTGAATTGACAGAACTAGAACTCAGGTATAACAAATGGCACAAGTAAATAATGCTGACATTTACCTTTTATTCATTTTTTTTCTTTTTCAATCACATACAGGATTAAATGACAGATACGTTCAATAAACATAGCATGGTTGAATTTAGCGACAAACTGTCACACACAACTACGAAATAAGTGTTTTTAAACATGTAAAATATGCCATATTTCTATATGTACATGTGTATATGGCTAAGCATCCTCGTGACAAATACATATTGATAACCTGAACACATGATCATACCTCTTAGTCTATAATTTATCCACAGAAGAGAAGTCATGAAATTGCTAGAACTAGAACTCAGGTACAACAAATGTCACAAGTAAATAATACTGACATTTACCTTTTGTTTATTTTTTCTTTTTGAATCACATACAGGATTAAATAACAGATACGTTCAATAAACATAGCATGGTTGAATTTAGCGAGAAACTGTCACAAACAACTCCAACATAAGTGTTTTAAACATGTCAAATATGGCATATTTCTTTATCTACATGTGTATATGGCTCGGCATCCCCTTAAATACGTTGAAAACCAAAACACATGATCTTACCTCTTAGTCTAGAATAAATCCACAGAGGAATCTATAATATATCCACAGAAAATATAATGAATCTATAATAAATCCACAGAAAAATCATGAAATTGCAATCAAGTACATGTACATGCAATACACAGACTTATTAACAAGTCTTTAAATAAACCGCATTTCTACAAGCCGTCTGGTTGGTGCCCTCTCATTTCTTTTCAGTGTCCTAAACAGTTGTTTCGAACATGACAACTCTTTCAGTCTCTGCGTATGGAACCGTTACCCGGTATACCTCACATGCTTCTTCTTCCAATATGAGGACGCTTTCTTGCCGCGACGACGCGCGTGTCTTCTTCGTGGTTGTACCGTGGATGTCTGTCGGTGGTGTTGTCCCGATTTAGACACAGCGCGACCCGAAAGCTCTCTCACGTCTTTCCAGTGTCCTAAACCGTCGTTTCAAAGATGACAACTCTTTCCGGGGCCGCGCGTGAAACGGTTGCACGGTTTTCCTCGGGCACTTCTTCCTCAAAGAACGCGTCCATGTGCGGACGCCTTCTTGTAGTGGCGACGCGTTTTCCTCTTGGTTGTACCGCTCTCTTCTGTTGGCGGCGTTGTCCCAGTTTAGACACAGCGCGGCCCGAAAGCTCTCTCATGTCTTTCCAGTGTCCTAAACCGTTGTTTCGAACATGACAACTCTTTCAGGGGCCGCGTATGGAACCGTTGCGCGGTTTTCCTCACACACTTCTTCCTCAAAGAACGCGTCCTCGGGCGGGGCGCGTCTTCTCGCGACGACCGGTGTGTGGGTGGCGGTGTTCTCGTCCCGGTTGAGACACAGCGCGGCCCGGCAGCTGTCGCGGAACTTCTGGCTGGTGAAGACGTAGAGGAAGGGGTTGGCGCAGGAGTTGGCGTACGACAGGACCATGGCGATGTGGAACGCGGCCATGGTGGGCTTCTCCGGCAGGTCCGTGCTGAGGTTCAGCACCTGGCACACGTGGAACGGCAGCCAGCAGAACACGAACGTCACGATCAGGGCGGTCACCGTCTTGGTCACCTTGAATGAATGAATAAAAGGATGAATGGTTTATTTTCAATACAAAAATACAGGTACACATCGTACAAAACATACAGTAGTCGCCATTAGCAGCTTAAATGATGTATGATTTAGAGTACATTGCTATTGTACCTTGTTCCGCATGTTGACGGCGACGCGGGCCACCGCGGCGTTTGCCGGTGTGTTGCGGTGAAGGTGGCGGATCACCGACGCGTACGACCCGCTGATGACCAACAGGGGAACCAGGAACCCCATGGTGAAGGTGTACGACGTGAAGGCGTGGTACCAGAACAGGAAAGTGTCCTCAGGCCAGTCCAGCATGCACATGTAGTTCCCGTCCATCATCAGTACGTTGTCGCTGACGACCATCACTGGGATGCTCAGCAGCACGGCCGCGAGCCACACGCCCAGGCAGACGGCGGTGGCGACCTTCGGGCGGCGCCAGTGGGAGTGCGTGTTGGCGCGGACGGTGGCCAGGTGGCGGTCCACGCTCAGCACGGCCAGGTTGAACACCGTGGTGAACATGTTCATGGCGTCCATGGACAGGACGATCTTGCACGCGGCCCTGCCGAACACCCACCGCTTCATGGCCGAGGAGGCGGAGATGAAGGGGATCCCCAGCATGAAGAGCGCGTCCGCCAGCGCTAGGTTCAGGATGTAATAGTTCGTGGCGTCCTTCATCTTCGTGTGAGCCAGCAGCGTGTAGATCACCAGCAGGTTCCCGAGGAAGCCCACCACCGCCACAGTCCCGTACAAGGCGGGGCCCACGATGGCGGTGATGGCGTCCGTGCTCGGGGCCTGCGTCGGCGCCGGGAGGAACCGGCCCGTCCCGTTCCCGTTCGCGATCGCACCGACGTCGCTCCAGTTCCCGATGTTCCCGAGGGCGGCGGCGAGAGCGGCAAGGATTTCAGGGCACAGCGGCAGGCTGTGGTGATCGTCGATACCGTCCGCACAGCCCCGGTCCCATGGCCAGTCTTCCTCCGTAGCGTTAAAGAAACTCATGTTGACGACAAGACCGTTAGTACTGTACTGGTACTGTAAGAGATGGCAGCCCTCTCTCAGGGGAGCGATGCTGTTGAGAGAAGTTCCTTGTCGCGGTGCGGAGTTCTCTCAGAAGCGCACGTTTGGGATTCAGTCTTCTGTGGTCCAAACCAGCATCAAAACTGCGCGATGTTCGGACCGTTTCTGTGACTACTAGCGTAAAATCTGGGACCAACTGTCAATCATAATTCCATATAAGGATCAGATGGATTTTGATTGGTCGTCTTTTGCACGTCACAAGGAACTAATGAGCTTGATAAACAAGAATCAAAGACGTCAAACATTGCGTTTTTGCTGTAGGGCTTTCGCGGCACAAGCTGGTCTATACTAGACCACTTATATCTGTATTGAATTGCAGCATCACTCATAGCACAGCTGGTATATGCTTCAAAAGAGCAATGCATCTATATTTCACTCCATGATATGAATGATGAGATATAGTGTTTTCTATGATGTTCCTTCTTGGCACGGTTTTGCTGCTTTGACTAACCATGCTCCTGTGCCCTGATGGCAAAACCAAATGACTTAAAATTCAGTATACGGGTACCTTGTACATAGGCCCACAGAGTTCAATTAACACATCTGACATACATGACTTGATGTATGTTGAATTTTTGGCTATTTTTGCACTTAAGATTTTGCACTTAACATAAGAGCATAAAACATTTTTGCACTTTACATTAAGAACATAAAACATGCTCACCTTACGCATTTGGTACACGTGACATCAATAAATGTAACAACAAGTGGATTCAACTTTGATGAGGAATTTACGGTCGTCACAACCACAGTATGGAGAGTCAGATGACTTATTCAGAACATTCAGTACCTCAATTCTGAAATTAGAGATTTCAGAGACAGCTTGTTTAAAGTAACAACGATGCAACCACTGACTAACTGTACTAACGGAATAACCTAGTCACCGATAATTCAGCACCAAGGACAGGTACCTATATTTACAATATGACAATAGTACAGGAATAATTGTTTTAACTAACCGTCCCGCGCAGATTGGGTTCTAGTGGGGCGATGTTTGTTTGTACGGGTAGCTAGGGCGGTGGTTTCTTTTCGGGGGGGGGGTGCACGATACAGCTTTCCCGATCACCCCCCCTCCCCCAGGAAAAGAAACCGCCGTTCTAGCCATAGTAGAAACAAACACTTGAACTCCATCTCCGCGGTACGCTGCATTAAATCCATTATTCCGGTACTTGTATTGTGTAAATGTAGGTCCTTGGTGCTGAATGATCGGTGGTTAGGTAGTTGCATCGTTGTTTAAATTAGCTAGTTATAAGACCCCCTTTGGGGAAAGAAATTTAACACTCGTAATTTTTTCTACGGCTCTCGATGGTAAATGTGCAGATGTTGACACATTGGCGCACGGTAGTGTGTTTTGGGCACTCAATTAGATAGATTGGCCTAAGAGGCTCAATGGGCGTCACTCCAACGTACAGGGAGGAAGTCGTAGTAAGTGCCTTTCCCAAGCGCACAATGTCGAGGCATGGTGAGAATCGAACCTGGGGCCAATTGGTTCCGAGTCCAACGCTCTAACCGTTGTGCCACTGACGCCACATACTCCCACAATAATCACTCTAAATGTTTTGTTTTCCCAACAGCCACACCCACGATTTTCAAGTGCAAAGACAGAAATGGAGGTACGTGATGCCAGCTTGTCGCCCGAAAACCAGTGTGACGAAGACGTGAATGACACAAGTGCCCCTCCACCGCTGCCTCCGAAATGCCCTCCGCCACTGCCGCCAAGAACGTACCGGTCTCACGAGGGAGACGGCGAAGTGGCAAAAGCGGAGAGAAGGAACGAACCGGTGAGTATTTACGAAGACACGGACCCGCACGGCGAAAGTATTTTCGAAGAGCCAATTAAGCAAGCCAAGAAGACGGAACCTACGAAGACGTGGATCGAAAGAACGGCGGAGGTGATGTGAGGTTGAGGGCTGGCCTGAGACGTGCCGTGCCCGATACTCCCCCTTCTCGCAACTCCCACGCGGAAGACCGCGCGTCGGTGAGGGGAGAGCAGACGCCTTGCGAAGAAGCGAGTCCAAATCCGTGCTACAAACGAGAAGATACGGCTGGAGACAATACTGGAGGTACCTTCATTTTATACCAACTAAATACGTCTACTAAAGTGTTTATTCTTCTTTTGTTTGCTTAACGTAAACATTGAATGTCTGAGAAATATCACAGCACTGCTATAATACTATATTACAGCTCCATGATGGCAAAATTATCTCCAAAAAAGTTGAGTTAAATGATTTTGGATTGACACAAGAAACACTGAACATATAAGACAATGGCACATACAAATATATGAAAAATAAGCATCCCTCTTATGATTCTCATTTCTCAACAATTGTCCATTTCATGTAATGTTCTAATTACCTAATTTCACATATTTTGAATTTTTTGTCGCCCCTTGTAGTGCCTGAGACGGAGGTGGAGGATCACACGTATGAACACGTGGACGGGGAAGACTCTGACAGAGATGAAAAGCAAGAGGAAGGAGGTAGGTAATAACATTTATTTCCATGGCGACCATAGAATGTTTATGTATAAAATTATGTATTGATAAATGTTCATAATTGTTGCATATGTCAATGGCACCTGGTACTGTAAAGACAGCGTTGTTTGATAGACTAAAAAGGGCAAAAGAAATTCAGCAATTACTGCTTGAATCAGCCATCTATACCTGCCTAATAGTACATGCCATGTCCAGGTGCCATCTCCTAGTGCGTTGTAGTGCTCTCCAATGGTCTGTCATCAGTTTTCATGTCAAATCAGTCCCACAGAATATCTTAATCTAATCCCTACACCTCCTACACGTTTTCTATTTTCTTCTTTACATTCTATGATTGACGTTGCTTTAAAGTTGAGTTGAAAATATATTTACCCATATATGTTAACAGATTATCACTTCCAATGTACTTGCAATAGGCCAATCCAGGTCGCTCTATTAACGTGGGCATGAATTTGCAATAATTTAATCTATTGTTTAGCTATATTATTGTTAAGAAGAAGTCAAACCCAGTTAAACTAGTACCATGCATGTTGTAGAATATAGTATAATGCTAGACGTAGATTTAGTCTCACATACCACTGTATTTTCTTTCTTATGTTGTTTGTGACAGCAATTAGCCCTCGAACAAGTATTTGCAATAAACTTTCTATTATTATTATGAATAACAGGATGTGTCAGAGACATATGGAAGAAGGCCGTATCCAGTAATGTTTTCTGGGCGGCGCTGGGCTGTGGTGTGCTGGTCATGACGTCAGTGGTTATCAGCTGTGTCGTCCTGTTGGCTTTCATCCGACCTGGAATTAACGTAAGTCAACCTGTTACTTCCTGGGAGATGAAACACTAAATGATTGGAAATGTGAAAACTTAAGATCACTGTGAAACATATTACTGGGAGGGCAACTTAAATATTGACTCAAAGAAATTGAATGAAGTAAGGGACAGGATTTTCTCCAGAAGCTGTTTTCACATTGATTATACAATCATGAAGGATGGCAGTAGCTGAAACGAAAACAATGACCAGAGCAAGGGAAGAATAGCTCTAGGTACAGCTCAAATTACAGCCTACTTGCACCAGCAAGTCTTTCAAAGTCAAAGGAGATGTGAAGGAACAAAAATAAAGAATTAAACGTTAATGTTATGTTCTGTGTGTAATTTAATCAACCTTCCTGGCCACTTAGATTTCCAAATGCAGACAACTTTTATTTCTTCGCATCTGGCGTCAGTTTTGCGGTGCCAAGAGGATGTCATATCCATGTAATCAAATCAGTATGCTCTTATCACTTTTTTGCAGGAGATGAAACCTGAAGATGTGCACATGGCTTGGGGGATGCCAACAGATTCCAGCGATTCAGGGTTCACAAGTTTCTACAAGGACGACAGCTCGGTCCTTGACAACACGACTCCATCCCCCTCCACTTCGGCGGTAAAGACGTCCGATTCTCCGAGTATGCCAGCGTTCTACGAGGGACGGACCTCTACTGTCACTTTACACCCGCATATTGAAGAAGCAACAACAGGTAAGACCACAAACACTTAGTCAAATTATCATTCCTTGTACTCTGTTTCTGGGCGTTGGTACATGAATATGTTTCTGAGAGTGAATACATGTATATTTCTTAATAACAAGTTTTTCTTGGCTACTGTAAACAATTATTTTAAACCAATTCCTCCTTGGTTACACAGACATCAAGGATTGCACCAAGAAAGGCTGCAAACATGGATACTGTGTGAACCAAGATGACGGATACAAATGTACCTGCCCACCTGGATGGACTGGACACGACTGTAAGCAAGGTGAGTTCTTAATAGACTTAAATAGTACGTTCTAGTGCAACGTGTATTTGTAACACACACGCACGCACGCACGCACGCCAATTCAGACCAAGTTGTATAGATTCCTGGGCATGGGACCAATCTTGGATCGATCATCGTATGTGACCTTTATAAACTTTCATTTTACATATAGACATTTTCACTTCAACATGGAGAATTAAAACAGTCGTCTACTTAAAATAATATATCATTGGCGTCTTCCCTTTGTCACATGAGACATAGATGAGTGTACCGAAAATAGTTGCGGACATGGAAGCTGTGAGAATGAAGACGGTGGATACAAATGCACCTGCTCACATGGATGGACTGGACAGAACTGTCAGCGTTCAAAAAGGAAGGAGAAAGAGACGGAGAAAAAGGAGAAAAAGAGAGAAATGATGAAAGCACGAAAGAGGGCAAGAAAGAAAAGAAAAAACTAGACAGGTAACATTTGTGTACCTGATACAGCATGCTGTGTATTTCACTGCCAGAAAGGCTCGTAGCTGGGTTTTCATTCCTAACGTTATTGTTTACAAGGTTTGCAACTACAGTGCACATGGCGTCCTGGCAAAATATAACTGCCAAATTCTATGCTCCTCACTTCAGACATGATTGAAAAGCTCTTGCATACATTTCAAACGTTACCTGCAGGCCCCAATATGTAAAAGAAACAGTATGTTTCTGTCAATCTGTGCGGTGTTACATCCCAATTAATGCAAAGACAGTAGATTATGTGCTAAGATTTCAAATATTAAATTTTCATTCAAAACCTAGATGATTTTAACTTTAAGGAATTTTATGTAAGATGGCGAATATTATCATACAGTAATGTGAAGTGAAGCAAAATATCTAATACAAAATCATAGTGCAGTTATGACACTTATGTGTAGCACCTCTTACATTAGCTTAAGCACCGAATTATTTTCAAATTGGTTTTGGAACTTCAAATTATAATGTTTTGATGAAAATATTGAGCATGATGACAAGGCTTATGCCTTGCTGCCTCCATTTTATGTAGTGGATAGTAATGTTCAATTTTCATGAAATTTCAAATGTAGAAGATTGACACAGAAGCAGCTGTTACAAGACTCATGGTCCTTGAAAATAATCAAGTGCAAATGTACAAGTACTTGTGACTGTCACGTGTACATGCGTCTGTCAGCAATGTAATACCATTGACAAATCCGATACTTCATATAAGTGCTCGATTGAATGTAGGCTTCAATTCTATAATGAAATTCTGCTATGTAATTTGCTTGTTTTTTTACTTGTAAACCTCCAGCAATCATAGAAATTGATTGACAGTAGTTTGGTAGCCTCTACCAGGCTTCGGAAGGCGGCTGGAAAGAGTAGAAATCGGCCAAATAGAGAGATAACATGCCAGGGGAGTTGGTCTGCGGGGAGAAAACTGTCGGGTGCGGCAAAAGGTTTTCTTCACGCAGACAAACTCCCCCAGCATGTTATCTCTCTATTTGGCCAATTTCTGCTCTTTCCAGCCGTCTCCCTAAGCCTGGTAGAGGCTAGTAGTTTGGTAATTTTAACAACATTAGAACAGAAGGATCAAATACGAACTTCGTACAGTGCAGACCAATTATGAAATAAGAAATACCTGATTGTTTTTTATTTGTTGCACAGAACATGAAAATACAGCAATGGTTAATGTTACAAAGTACATGTATTATACTTCAGTAGAAATTACATTTTTAATGTTTAATGTTAAAACAAAATCGTAATGTATGTTCAAAGAAGATTGTTTGTTTTAAGTAGATTGCACTGGGAGAACATCAATAAAAGAATTAACTTCTCAATGAAGATTGAGTCTTTTGGGTGAAGTAATGAGGTAGCAAAATCCACGTGTTTCTTGAGGCTAGAAAATATTCTTTTGTGAGACTGACTTTTATTTAATTGTAACGGGGGGGGGGGGAGTAATTTATAGGCGCTACCACCAACTGATCCGTCTGACGGGTCTAGACCTTTTAGCCGAATGGTTAGAGCGTCGGGGTGTGAACTGGTGCCCGAGTTTGGCGTGGGTTCGATCCCCGGCCCGGGAGTGTCTCTGTTTCTACTCTCCTCTTGTTTCTACTTCTTAGGTTTAATTCTTTTGGTCATATCTGATACATAGATTTTCTGTATCCTGACAATGTATGTGAAATTATATACTTTGAGCTCTGTATGTATATGCCACACTCAACGCAGCAACGCGTGTCGGAAATAAACATGATATTCACCTGAGACTGCAGTTTCTTTCAGGCAACCTCTCTCTTCGTAAATAATTTCATCAGGTTGGTAAACGAATGAATAGCAAAGTTCTTTGATCACAACCATTTATTTTTCAAAAGCCGATTTTGGGAAAAAAAACAAGAAATTTTGTTGCCCTCTGACAGCGGTCACCATGCCGAAAATGGGCAAAGATGTCTGTTTCCATGCCGGAACGTGAATGGCAGAAAACTATGAAGACAGGAGGCAAGAAAATACTCTAATTCAATGTTTTGTCTTTTTACTTTGATGCAGTGATATGTGATATTGACTGTGTATATGTGAGGTTCTCACTGAATCAAAAGTATTTGTACAATTATTGAGTAATTTGAGAATGTAGAAATTTTGTTTTTTTCTGCCCGCCTTGTTTTTTTCGACCGCTCGCATTAGATTTGGAGCCTGCGGAGGATGTCATCCACAAAATTTACTTGCTGTGGCCTAATCAAATCATCATGACCTAATTGAGAAAATGCAAATTACAGTGATTCCTTATCAGGTGGTTAGACCACGCTGCTGCTCAGAGCAAGATGGCGAGTCACGGTGCTTGGACAAGGAAGAACTCGGCGGTTAAAATTCGTCTTTTAAGACGAGCTACGTCCGTTTAAGGAGGTGAGTCGCATTTAACATTGTCCTTTATGTTCTCGTTGCAATGAAATGAAGCTAAAACATAGAATGACGTGAATTATTTGCGCCGGTGACGATTCCCTGTGTTTAAACCTGCACTAACTCCTAGTAAAGCCGCTGTTCAGGGGCACTTTTTTCGTGTCCGCTTTGAACTAACATGACTAACGTTATACATTAGATACGCTCGTTTTATTACCTTCGCCAACAAGGTTATATGTTTTCGGAGGCGTTCGTGAATTTGCAATGTATTTTGCCAGGTATATGCTCTTTCAGTGATTGTTAGGCCACAGCAAGTAAATTTTATGGATGACATCCTCCGCAGACTCCAAATCTAATGCGAGCGGGCGAAAAAAAAACAAGGCGGGCCGAAAAAACACAAGGTTCCTACATTTTTAAATTTTGACTCAATCATTGTACAAATGGTTTTGATTCAGTGGGAACATCACATATATATACACAGCCAGCATCACATATCACTGCATCAAAGTATTAGAAACAAAACACTAAATCAGAGCATTTTCTTGTCTCCTTTCTTCAGTCATCTGCCATCCACCTTCTGGCATGGCAACAGACATCTTTGCCCATTTTTGTCATGTTGACCACTGTCAGAAGGCAACAAAATTTCTTGTTTTTTTTTTTTAATCAGGCAAAAATTAATGCACGCGCTGATGTCATCCATAAAAATTACTTGCTTTGGCCTTAGTAGTCTACTAGTATTTGGCTTGTGATCTATCTGAATGTGTATTTCTTTCCCATCCTAGGCTTGAGATGCTGCTAATGTATAGCTGACATTGTGGGACCTGTCTCCTGTGTGTGCTGTGGGACCTGTCAGCTATCCTGTATACCTGTCCACACTCTAGGACTATTATTCCAGGAGGACCTACCTGTTTCTGAAGGATCTGTCACCTATCTACAAGAGAAGAGAACATCGGACTTGACTGTGAGTTGGTTCTTATAAACTCTTTCAAAAATAGGGTCTGCATGCCGCAATGCGTAACCAGTCGTTTCATGTTTGCATAATGGCAAGTCGGGTCAATCTATTCACCATTTAAGTGTGATAAAACGTCCAGCCAGTACAAGTTAATCGTAATACGTGGTCGTTGGTTTGCAGCATTCTGCAACTTCCCATTTCAATTTGCATAATTTGATGTCGAATAACTATGATTTAATACCAAATGTAATCTAGTACGTGAACAACCTGAACAAATGTAAATCGCGGGCGCTGCCTTACAGAATTTAGCATGCGAAGCGCGATCGGGACCTCCCATGCAGACCCTTGAAAATGACAATAAAAGATGTTGGAAAAGGGCATGTTTGCGATCCTATGAATTTTTCATTCTAAACGCCATTGTTGAAACTCAGCTAGGCCCTCCCTGCTATTTGTTGTCATTTCTGAAAGAGTTCACATTCCTAACTAATATTTAGTTTTAGGTTGTGACTAATCTTTTATTGCAAATATGACGGAGAACACAGTACATTTTCCTATTTAAGAAAGCACTTTTAATATTTGCCTGTTGTTTCAATCTGTATAGCAATGGGATATATTTTCAACAGCATTTGTGATCAAACTGTTTTCCCTGATATCCTCTTTATCATGATCCACTGTAAGTTACATATCCACCATTTTAAAACCATTTCTATTATAATGATGAAAATGTGAAGACAATAAAATCTACATGGTGATATGAAACAATCCATAAAGCAACAATGTTTAGGCAAATAAAAGCATTCAAAATGGAAAAACATGAAGAGACATTTCATTATGATCATGAATTCTAGCTGTTAATGTTTACTGGTGGAGAAGTACATGCACTGTCAAGATTCGTTGCTATCTGTCAAAATTGTTTTCTGATTTTGTAAATAATACTATGATTTGGAACATATGATGGTACAAAATGTAAACTTTTCTTTCAAGGAAGATCTATAAAATGTTCAAAACAACACCAAAACTGAGTAAAGAGACTCTTTTTACACAACCCTGTTTTTATTCAGCCCACGTTTCGGTGACTGTCTGTAACCTTCCTCAGGGCAATTCTGACTGGTTCACATTGCACTGCAGCACCGATGTTGCTGCTATAGATGCTCCACAAATGTACATTATTTGTACAGGCTCTGATTTACCTAAAATTCTATACGTTTGTCTCTGGTTGACAAAAAACGAATTAGATCACAAGCAGGATTATTCATATTAACAAAATATGCAAAAACACATTATAGGCATTTCACAAACTTTTCTTTTTGAACAATGATAGAGTGGATTTCTGGGAAAGGACTTTGGTCACATAATGATTGCTAGGAATATGTCCTATTTCTTTACAGAAAATGGAAAAGGCAATGTTGTGCTTTCTTTCTGTAGAGTGAAATGTACTACAGGTAAGCTGTGTGTGATGTTTCAAAGGGAGGAATCAGCAAAACAAAAATGTCTACTAGTCTTTTCGCAAGGATTATAATAATTACTCTAAAGTTGCTCTCTACTTTTAATGCAGTCAAGTCATAAATACATGTAGTGTAGGTAGAAGGAGGTTAAAAATCAATCTTAGTTCAGAGGACAAATAAAATAATTTCAGTTTTGGGGCCTTTTCACCCAAAATCCTATTTCTAAATGGTGATTAATTGGTTTCTGCCAACCCCGCAAATATTTGCGGTAATATCTGACCTGCTCAATGTTCCCCGGCTAGCGCCCGATTGTCCGCTAGGCGGCGCAGCGACTGAATCTCTGACATCACCAGTTTCATTCTGCTACTAGCTGTTTGCAATGGTGGGCGCGTCTGGCCTGGATCGGCCGTGCAACCCTTTCGTTTTGAGCCACAGACAGAC